CTTTCGTCTTTGAGCCATGGCTGAAGAAAGTTCAGTAAACTGCGATGAAGAAACTCAACATAGCCTCTCCCCAAATTTCTCAGATGTTGAGGTTAACACCAATCAACATCTGTGTTCAGTTCTCTTGAACGAGTTCAATTATCTTCCTTAGTCTCAAGTTGTTTCACTAACTCTCGGAGGCAGAGGGAAATTAGGGTTTGTCAATGGAAGCGTGTAGGCTCCAGACAACTCCTCGACAACATACAGTGCATGGCTTTGTAAGGATCAGCTTGTCATGTCCTTACTCCTCTGCACCATGGAGAAACATGTTGCTGAGATTTTTAGCTATTACAATTCGTCACTTGATCTTTGGAAAGCCTTGTAGGATATGTATGGAAATCAAAACAATTATTTACGAGTTTTTCAACTTAAGAAGGACATTGCTAGTGCCCAACAAGAAGGAAAAACGTTTGTTCAACATTTGAGGAGTCTCAAGGCCATGTGGAATGAGTTGGATGTTTATCTCCCTCATACCATATACCCTACCACTCTCCTGAAACGAGCTAAGGAAGACATAATCTATTAGCTATTAGGGAGTTTGAACTCCGAATACGAGGACCTAAGGAGTCACATATTGATGAGTCAAGAACTGCCAACTTCCAACAATGTATGTGCAACTATTCAACGAGAAAAAGCAAGGAAGAAAGTGATGAATGCTGAGCACAGCTCAAGATTGACTGAAACTCGTGCATATGCCTCAAACTACAAGAACTCAGAGGCAAAATGGTATAAGGGAAGAAATACACACCTAAAATGCAAATACTGCAATGGTGTTGGTCATGTGGAAGACAAGTGTTAGGAACTTCATCCTGAACTCAAGCCTAAATTTAGCAAAGATAGGAAGATGATACCAAGATCCTCACAACAATTTCACTCTCAACCTAAAGGCTCAACTTGCTAATGCTCACTCTTCTACTGTCTCACAAGGATCCATGGAATTCATTGCCAATCCATTGTCACTCATCAATGAATTTGCAGCCTATCTTCAAAGTAAGGGACATGGATGAGGTTCACAAGCTCAAGGCAAGGATGAGGGTAGTCATACAACTATATTGGGATAATTCGCCGGCTTTCTTGCTGGAAATGAGAAGGCATCATAAGAGAAAACACCACGTATACTCAGAGCCTTCATTACTGCCCTATTGACTAGTACTGAAAATGATTGTTGGGTAATAGATTTAGGCGCCACAGATCATATGACAAACAAAGTCACAAACTTGCATCATTTTAAACGTTTTTCGAGTCCTTCACATGTTTCAGTTGCAAATGGAAAAAATGTCTTAGTTTTGGGCAAAAGGGAAGTAAACTTACTCTCACACAAAATACCCTCCACTACCTTATATGTACCAACCTTTCCTTTCCAACTTTTGTCAATTGGAAAAATCATAAACACCCTAAATTGCCGTGCTATTTTCTCACCAGATAATGTAATTTTTCAAGATGTTCTCACCATAAAGATGATTGATGAATGGGTCTTCATAAATGGACTTTACTACTTATGCAAGAATGCCTGCTTTTCTTAGGCTCTTCAAGTTCAATCGAAGTCCATAGATGAAAACCAACTTTGGCATAAGAGATTAGCTCATCCTTTAAAAGCTGTCCTGTTAAAACTATTTCCATTTTTTTTGTAAATCTCATCTTACTTGTGATACTTGTCAATTTTCTAAGTTTACTAGACTACCTTTTGGTAATTCAATGTCTATGACAAGTAAACCTTTTGAAATGGTTCACACTAATGTATGGGGACCAGTAGCTGAATCAATTGAAGGTTTTAAGTATTTTGTTCTATTTGTTGATGACTTCTTTCGAATGAGTTTTTTTATACTTTATGAAATCAAATAGTGAAGTCCCAAACATTTTCAAAGACTTTCATCTACATGTTAAAACTCAATTTCAATCAAACATTAAAGTCTTAAGATCAGACAATGGCACTGAATTTATATCCAACAACATGCTTCAATACATAAGTTCTCAGGGCATCATACATCAAACCAGTTGTGTAGGAACTCCCCAACAAAATGGAGTAACTGGGAGAAAGAATATGGATCTCTTAGAAAAGACTCGTGCTCTTATGCTTCACGTGAATGTTCCAAAGAAATTTTGGTCATTTGCAATCCTCACTACCACTTATCTCATCAATCGACTCCCAAATCGAGTGCTAGAGTTCAAATCTCTCTATGAAGTACTCAAAGGTAGAAAGATTGATTTGACACACCTCAAGGTATTTGGATGTGTTTGCTTTGTTCACATTCAAGCCTTGAATCGTGACAAATTAGATGTCAGGGCTACCAAGTGTGCGTTTATGGGTTACTCTTCCACCCAAAAAGGATATAAGTGCTTCAATCCAGCCACTAAAAACTGCATTATGTAAAGAGATGTGAAGTTTGAAGAAAAATGTCCTTATTTCACTTCCAAATGAACTACTATAAGTCAGGGGGAGGAATTGTTTGAATTATTTCCATTCCCTCAGAACTTTAATCCTCTTGTGTTGGAAGAAAACTCAATCTTTGTGATTTCTGATGGTGAAGAAGTGCAAACTGACTCAGTCACTGCTAGTCCGATTCCTGCTAGTGAAGAGAATGATGAGTCTCATTCTGATAACTCTTAACCTTTCATAGAGCCTTAAGTGATTAAAAGAAATCCTCCTCGAACAAGGAAACCTCCAACTAGGTTGCAAGATTATGTTACTTATGCCTCACGGCACCCTATCATTGAAAGCATCAGTTTTCGTGAGTTCTATACATATCATGCTGCATTTCTCAGTGAAATTGATAAACACTGTGAACCTAGGAGTTTCCGAGAAGCATCACTCCTTCCATAATGGAATCAAGCCATGGCACATGAGCTTCATACACTGGAAGAAAATAACACCTGGAGTTTTGTTCAATTACCACCAAGAAAAAAGGTTGTTAGAAGTCGTTGGATTTACAAGATTAAATTCAAGGCTGATGGTTCTATCGAGTGACACAAGGCTAGACTTGTAGCTCAAGGTTTCACCCAGACCTTTGGGGTAGATTACAAAGAAACATTTGCACCTGTGGCCAAGATGAATTCTGTGAGGGTTTTACTTTCAATTGCTGTAAATTGTGGGTGGTCCCTCTATAAAATAGATGCGAAAAATGTTTTTCTTCACGGAGAATTACAAGAAAAAGTGTATATGCAGCCTCTTCCAGGCTATAATGGTCTTGAAGGCAACATGGTGTGTAAATTGCACAAGGCAATATATGGATTAAAACAATCCCCAAGAGCTTGGTATGCCAAGCTCAGTTCAGTACTCTAGAAGGCTGGTTTTATGCGAAGTAATGTTGATTCCTCACTGTTTGTAAAAACTGGTACCAATGGGAAATTATTGGTTCTTATCTACTCGGACGATCTCATTATCACATGAGACATTGCTGTTGAAAATGAGGCACTAAAACGTTCACTACATCAAACATTTGCTATCAAAAATCTGGGGCAGCTCAAGTATTTTTTGGGTATTGAAATGGCAACATCTTCAAATGGGCTATTTCTCCATCAACTCAAATATGTACTAGATCTTCTTCAAGAAGCAAACATGCTTGATTGCAAACTTGCCATCACTCCCGTGGATTGCAAACTGAGGCTCAATACAGATAGAGAAGCCATGCATGATGTGAGTTTTTACCAACAGTTAGTAGAGAAGCTTATATATCTCAACATCACACATCCAGATATCACATATGCAGTAAGCTTGGCAAGTCAATTTATGCAATCTCCCACTATGGATCACCTTCACATTGTTAAAAGAATTTTGCGCTACCTCAAGGGGTCAATAGGGCAAGGAATCATCATGAGTAACAATAAGTCCACTACCATTAGTGGCTACACGGATGCAGATTGGGCAGGGAATGCACTTGATAAAAAATGTACCACAAGCTATTGTACATTTGTAGGGGGCAATCTTATTACTTAGAATAGCAAGAGGCAATAATTAATTGCTCATTCCAACACAGGTTGAATATCGAGCCATGACAGCCACTGCTTGTGAACTTATTTGACTTAAAAGGCTTCTTTCAGACTTAGGGTTCCCTACTTCGTCCTCTATGTCCATTATGTGCGATAATCAAGCAACCATGCACATTGCTGCCAACCATGTGTTTCATGAAAAAACCAAACATATCGAAGTGGACTGTCATTTCATTAGAGCTCAAATTTAATCTCAAGTTATACGGACCATCTTCACACAAACCCATGATCAACTGGCAGATCTCTTTACCAAGGCACTGCCATCAGCTCCATTTCATCATTTTTTTGGGCAAGCTTGGCTCAATTAACCTCTTCAATCCAGCTTGAAAGGGAGTGTTGAAAGAATGAAGTGTTGAAGTGTGTTCCAATGGGTTTAGGGTTAGCTTCTAGAGTAAGCTACCTTGGGTGTATCTCTAGGGTTAAGCCCATACTTGTTGTAAATCTATTTTTCCTTAATTTAAGGAAAATGACTGATTAGTATAAAGTAGATAAAGCCTTTCCTTAATCTAAGGAAGATGACTGATTGGATGAGGTAGGTTAACTCTAGTTGGCTGTGATAGACAGCCCTTTTTTCTTCCTTCTAGTCAGCTGCTTGTTGCAGCTAGCTACCCGGACTTCTTCTCTTCTTCCTCTCTCATATACCTTGTATCTTGTACTTACACTCAAGTATCCACAGTAATAAACTGAGAGTTACCCTATAAGTAAACAATTGGTTGCATTCTGACATTAGCCACAAACTATAACAACTGCGTTCCTCTCTTTGTGATTGAAGTAGCAATCCGACAAAATCCTGAGCGCTCCTCGGACAAATTGATCGAAATCCAACACTTCAAAAACAACAGATGAAAATTCAGCAACTGCACGAAGCAAGCAACACAGAAAAAGGTTGTTCCCACTTCAAAGTTTATGCCAAAAGAAACAATTAATTAAGACAAATAATGCAAATTTTAGCGAGGAACTAGATAGATAGTGATGAAAGGCAAGTCAGACAAATCCAAATGCCTCAAATAATTGAGTTCATAAAAAGAAAAAAGGATTACTCTCTTTTCACACATCTAATTGAATCATCACTCTTTGTCAAATCCCACTTCCAAATTAAATTACTAATTTGAAGGTTTAGTGAACTAATTACAGCAACAAACAAGATATATAAATGATGCAAGGCAAGTCAGACAAATCCAAATGCCTCAAATAATTGAGTTCATGAAAAAAGATGTCTCCTTTTTTCACACATCTAATTGAATCATCACTCTTGCCAAATCCCACTTCAAACTCAAACAAATTCATCAAAAAAATTGCAAAAAAATACCCAAATAGGATTCAAATTTAAAATGTTACCTACCCAAGATCGAGGCATTTACAAATTAAACAGTATACCAAATGGGCCAGAAGCACCCCAATTGACTGAAACACCCAGAATCAAATAGCATGGAAACTATCTGCCTTAGGGTTTCAAGAAAAATGGGGAAAAAGTGCTCCAAAACCCAAAAGGAAAACAGAGCAATGCCTCAGAAAACCCAGGTGGGAGGAGAGGAGGGTTTCAGAAGGAAAACCCTAAAGAGACCCTCCCCGATGGAGTTTTTCACTATTGCGCAGCTATGACTCAAAACGCTTCCATGGGTAAAAAGGGAAGGCGATCTTAAGGGCCACGCTTAACAAGAACAAATAGAAATTGCAGAACAAGCATTTAGACTAAAAGTTGCGGAATTTGAATGGAAGAAAAACCAGAAAACCCTAATGCCCGAGGAATAAGAGGAGGCAGATGGAGAGCAGAAGGTGGGAATATATAGGGGATGCGGTGTGTGTTGGTTGGGCTTTTTGGTTGTGAGTAGCAGAAGACCCAAAGACTTGGAATTTGCGTGAGGCCCAAAATGTTATAATTTCAACTTTTGTTGGGATGAGATGTTAGAGATTTTGGGCCAAACAAGTTTAGAATTTCATTTGAAGTCGGTGGTGCCAGCCCAATTATCATCAATAGCTTAAAGAATAATATGAATGTTAGGCACTTCAACGAGAAATTTATTAGCGTGCCTAAAACACGGTCTAGTACATCAAATCTTAATACAAGTGGTTGAATATTTGAAAAAAAATTTCAACTACTTGTATTATGATACTGCTGTACCGGACTGTGTTCCCAGCATACTAAAGAGTCTCTCCACTTCAACATACTAAAGTATACGGCTAAGGAGATTGTCAATAACGGTTTCCTAATTTTATTTTAAGCAAAACTCTTAACAAAGTAATCCGCCACTTAGTACTACGGTCTAATGATATTCCTCTTTCACTTGTGAGTGAGAGGTCTTAGGTTTGATTCTCACAAAAGGCAAATTTGAACCACATTATTGCTAACCCATTGTAAGACTAAACCCACCCCCTCTCCTTATTGTAAATAATATCGTTTGTAATAAAAAAAAAATGCGAGTTTAAACTAGCTAGCATTCAATCAGATAAAAAAAAAGTATTTATCAAATATATCCAAATATTAGTCTCTAATTTCAAAAATGTCTGTTTTTATAAAAACTTTCAAATATATCCAAAATATCACTTAAATAGACACAAATACCCTTAAGTTTTAAACCTAATAAATTAAAAAACCAAATGTCACATCCCGGGTTCAACTCCGTCGTAGCACAATATTGTCCGCTTTAGGCCCTGACCACGCCCTCACGGTTTTGTTTCTGGGAACTCACACGAGAACTTCTCAGTGGGTCACCCATCATGGGATTGCTCTCACGCGAACTTGCTTAACTTCGGAGTTCCGATGGAACCCTAAGCCAATGAGCTCCCAAAAGGCCTCGAATAAATTTGAAGTTCCCAGAAATTGTTTTAAATGAAATGTGATTGAAATGTCATGCCATACTTGCGTTATATCTTAGAATATGCATTTAGTAGTTGTGTATGTTATTGTTTGATGCGGCAGACGCTCAGCTAAGTTCCAGGTGAGTATATGTATTGATGATTGTGTTGCATTGTAATGGTTATACTTAGAGGCAGTTAGAGTTCATTATCCTGCACCCCAGTGTTACTGCTCCTGCCCGTGGTCAGGACACAGTCCTTCACGTGATGTTCACCTCCCGCACCGCACGCTCACCTTGGATCCAAGTTTGGTGCATAGCCATGTCGTACATACCAGGTGAAATAGCTTAGTTGTTTACTCTAAGTCTGCCAACAATAGCCAAAATTTAACACTCACTTTCATAAATTTCACTTTTTATAAAATCTTTCAAATATAACAGAAAATTCACATGAATAAACCTAAATGCCCTCAAAATCCAAAACTCATTTACACAGAAAAACCAAAACAATTGAATAGATCTCATCTACATCTTTGTTTGAGAAACTATCATCCCCTATGATGACCGGATACTTTACTTTGGTTGCATATCCCGTATCCGATACTTTTCGGAAATGATACTTGCTGGATACTCTCAGATACTTGTTGGATACATCATGGTTAATGGATACACTTTGACTGGACGGATACACGTATCCCACATTTGGGATACAAGTATCATGCTTTTAGAATCCTTTTACACGTTCAAATAAAAAATTGGAAAGAAAAAATTAATAAGAGACAAATCTTTATTTGAAATCAGTGAATATGAATTATGAAGAGCAACCTCCAATTGAAACTATGAATACAACTGTCATCCTTCTTTTATATGTACTAGGGGAATTAGATTTCCAACTTTTCTTCTCCAATAAATCAAATGAACTTGAATTTGAATGATCTTGTGTTATCAAAATATGTTCTAAATTATATTTTTGTCTTTGTTTATTATTATATAAGTTTAATTGCCGTATCTATTGTGTATCGTATCCTACTTTTTAGAGATTTTTTGTATCACCGTGTCGTGTCGTGTCGTGTCGTATCGTATCGTATCACCGTATCTGTGTCCGTGTTTTACAGATCATCCCCAAATTTCAACCTCTTTTTGATGTTGAGTTGGGCAATAATTTGGGGAGCTAGGAACTCAATGTTTTGAAATGGAAAGATGGAAGCCCCGAACATCCTTGTATCCTGTACCACCTCCCTATGGTTTGGTTTTGTCCACAGCAACTCAAACTCCTCCAAGCCTAGACCCTTTACTCTTTTGTTTTGTCTCAGCTTTGGACTCTGAATTTTCATTGGCATAAGAATTTTTGTCGATAATACTACTACGGTCCTGACATTTTTGCTCGCGTTGTTTCTTGTACTCCTCTTTTAAGTCTTTCTTTTCTTCTCTTCTTGGTGACATGGAGTTTCTCAATTCTGATCTAATAAGATGTTGTCTCTTATGTTTATTTGGTTTTAATTATAAGGGTATTTATGTCTATTTAAGTGGTTTTTCTGCTATATTTGAAAGAATTTATAAAAAATGACATTTATGAAATTGAGTGTTAAATTTTATCTATTATTGATCAATTCTCCAATTTTTTCCCTTAATGTAAGACTGCCGACAATAGCTTAGTTGTTTGACTTGAAATTATCTGACTGAGATGTTCAATTCCACACTTGTTTTACTAATTATTATATATGACTAATTAACCTAATTAGAAATATTATTTTTGAGTTGATTAAGGAAAAGGGCGAATGTCCTCGAAATTTCCCAAGTAATTAACAAATTAAAATAGAACGAATTAAATTAAGGTCAACATTCTGTTATGTAGAGGTCAATCGTGCGATTAATTTTTCATTTCCCGTGTCGTATTCCTAATGATGCAGTCCTCACATCAATTTAGTCAGAAAGTAAACGATGACCAATTTTTTTAGCTGCAACAACTGATCACCAAGTCTGTTTATTTTATTTTATTTTTTATTTTGAACAAAAAGACATAACTGATGATCAAGTCTTGAAAATAAAAAAAGAAAAAAATTCGAAATAAAACAGAAGTGTACGTAGTATTATCGATATATTTAATTTTTGATCGTCGGATCGAATGAATTGAAGAAGATTAATGACAAAAATTAATAAAGACGTGTAGAAACTAAAAATAAGTGTGAATGTAGCACTATTTAAACAGAAATGCATGCATGCATGCATTGTCCTATATGAATTTTCCAGGGTTGGGAGTGTTGATATTTGACGTCAGGGCATTCACATAACTTGAATTTCTAAACGCGTTCTTCACATGTTTGGATGACTGGGTCGTTTGACACATAAAATAGGTTATTAGTCCCTCAAGGGAGAGTATGTAATAATTCAAAACTGATAAATAATAATAAGTGAGGCTTATAATATCATAAATTGTGTGATACTGTAAAAATGCCACCCTAAGTTATACAGTTGAAATCAAACCAATTTTTATACAGTTGAAATCAAACTAATTTTATAACTTTATAGCTCGTTCAGAAGTATTTTTAAAACAACTGAAATCACTTTTAGACAAAATATTTTTTGAGTTGTAAAAGTACTTAAAATGCTTATTACATCACCAAAAATGCTTTGGTCATTTTAAAAGCATTTCCAAACGAGCCCTTAGGGATGTTATTACTTAATAAATGTGTAGTTAAAAATATTATTCCTTGACCTATTTATCCGTAAGAATATTGTTCCTAAATACGATTTCTTGAGCGCCAAATATTTTATTTCTTGCATATTTTTGTACTCACTGACAATCATAAATATGTGGAGGTGTGTTTCCTTAAGATGAGATCAAGAAAAATTATAATTTATTATGGAGTTTATTTCAATACATAATTGGTCCCAAGTTGAAACCAAAATTTTTTATGACTTGAAAATTATTCCATTATAGAGTATTACTTTAGAGAGGTTTTACTATATAACTAATTAGTGAATTAATCATGCATGGCCTCGTGCTATTAGTAAAGAAATTATTTATTTATAGGTAGTAATTTATTTTTGTCAAATTCATCTAAGAAGCACGTAGACAATTAGGCTGAGGTACGGGTATTTCGCTCTCTTTAAGGAGATTCAAGCCCACTGCGGTTTGACAAAAGTTCACGAATCGGTGTAGCAGTATATCTCTTGACTTGCCCCGTCCAGGATACAAATAAAGAAGAGTCCAAAGCTCCACCACAAGAATACCCTTCTTTGGCCAATATGTAAAAGATAGAAAGTATGGAGGAATAAAGAAT